GAAATAGAAATCAAGTTATATGTAAAAGAAGGAATAAATAACACATCATTTTAGCAAAAAAAAATGGTAAATTTAACCATACAAATGTGAGTGATAATGACCTTAGTTCTATTAGGAAGGTTAATCGTTATAGGACCGACATGTTTATAAGAAAGAAAATTATCAAGAGAACAAGAATCATAGTAAAAAATCCATGTTGTCATACATTTTGTTTTAAAAGAATTGATTATAAGAAAAGGTTTTCCTTGTTGTGAAATTGGAATAGACATAACCAATTTAATTAATCTTTATTGCTCCACCCAAGTTCTTATTGTTGGTTTGATGTATTAAGGTCATTAAGGCTTGATATTGCTATTGTGTTAGACACATGTCTTGATCTCCAGAAATATTATCAAGTTTTGCATCTTGCTTGACATCCAAGGTCTTCACTGAATTACTTTCCATTGTAATATCTATGTCTTGGAGGGAATCTATATTTCTTGTAACAAACCTCAATACCTTGGTCATTCTTTCCACAATGAACACAAACCTTTCTATTTATTGAAGTATTTAGATTCTTGTTCTCATAACTTAAGAGAAAGTCATGCTTCTTATACCTAGTGGAGTCGGTGTGACTTGTTTTTCATAATGACTACAAGTCACAAGTACATTAGCAACATTTATCTTGGTTTCCACACTAGTGAAAAAAGTACTTTCCATTATTTATTATTTATTATTCTTGTTGTGCTACATAATAAAGCATTTTAGTGATAGGTGGGATAATATTCATCAAAAGAACGTGTAATATTACATTATTATACTAATTATTAAACCACTTAGAAATTGTATTGCATAATCTTAAGCGGTTAACAATCAAGCTAGTAGAAAAGAAAGTTGATCATCGATCCAACATAACTATGTTGAGTTAGTAAAATAAAAAAGTGATCAACAACAGGGCGAGCTTGGTTGAGCTAGCAAAAGAAAATAAAGTAGTCAATGACTAGAGTAAACTAAGTAGAAGAAAAGAAAGTAGCAACAGGTTTCCACACTAGTGAAAAAAAGTACTTGCCATTATTTATTATTCCTGTTATGCTACATAAAAAAACATTGTAGTGATAGGTGGGATAAGATTGAGCAAAAGAATATGTAATATCACCTTGTTATACTAATTATTAAACCACTTAAAAATTGTATTACATAATCTTAAGCGACCAACAACCAAACTAGTAGGATTGACCATCGATCAAGCATAATTATGTTGAGCTAGCAAAATAAAAAAAATGGTCAACAATCGGACCGAGCTAGATTGAACTAGCAAAAGAAAATAAAATAATTAATGATTAGACCAAACTAAATACAAGAAAACAAAATAGTCAACCGTTATACCAAACTAAAGAAAGAAAAATAAAAATCAATAACTAACTAAACTAGTCGAAAAATTAATTTTCTCACTATATCTATTCAACTTTATCATCTTCTATTGTCATGGTTAAAAAATATTCAACCTACCAATTTTCCAATTTTTCTAACCATATAAAATTTGGATATGTAGTTACTTTAAATCAATAATAACAAACCAAAATTAGCTTCTTCTCTTTTTTAACCATAAATTCTTTACTTCATTAAACTTGGAAAATTAAGCATGAGTTAAGGATAGTGAAGATTGTTTCCGACAAATTAAACCTTCCAAAGAAATATATTAAAACAGGTTCAAATTCACCAAGAAAAAAACCTAACATTATTGATGTAAATTGGTCTAAAACTAAAGATGCTAAAGAATATTTTTCTTAAAACTTGTTACACGCATTCCCTCAATTCAATAAAAAATGTTTTGAAATCAATTCGTTGTTTCTACTCATATAAAATCGAAAACTAATACAAAATCGATACAAATGATTAAGTTTTAGAATCTATTTAAATTTGGAAAAATGAATTATATATATATATATATATATATATATATATAAAAAAGATAATTTTTTTAATTTCTTTTCATCTGACACTAATCCATAAATTTTAAATAATAATTATTTTATTTTTATTATAATTAATCTTTAAATAAAGTTGTCTTATTTTTACTATAACTAATTTTTCAGTTTCTATTAATTTTTTTTAAATATAACTTCCAACCACATTTGTTGTTATTATAACTGAATTTTTTATTTAAAATTTATTACTAATAATAAAATCATTTTATATTTTATATTATTATTATATAATTAAAAAAACTTTATTAGATTCTATTGAATATTTAATCATGAATTCGTATCTCAATGAAAGTGAGACTTCCGTTTTAATAACATTAAAAAAATATAAAAAACTCTTTAAACTTCTCATTAGAAATTAGTTTTTAAAGAAAAAATAAAAACAAAATTTAATTTTATATTATAACTTAAAATTTATCTAAAAAAAATGACCATGTTTCATTAACTTTAATCCAAGTGAATTTCAATAGTTAATCCTTCCAAGTGCTTTTATTTGTCTCTTTTTAAGGCTCTATCTAGGTGCCATTTTGCCTAAAAACAGAATAATAAAAAAAGAAAAAAGAAAAGAAAAACGTGAGCATAGGCATTGCACGTGGAGAAATATTTGAAGTGGTTGAGGGAAGGTGAGAGGATATTTAAATAATTTAGTTTCCAGATCTAGCATGTCTTTCTCGATTTCAACGCCCACACTTAATGCATAAATAATCTATGCATTTACTTTATATCAGTTAAAGAAATTTTGTTATTACCAACTTATATTTTTATTACATAATTAAATTATTTTTTAAATAAAAATTAATTATGAATGATATATAGCTTTTTATAACAATAATTTTTATATATTTTTTTCTTAATTTATTAAAATAACTTTTAAAATAAAATCGTAAGATCAAAACATTTTTATTCTTATTAAGATTAATATAATTTATAATATTTTATATAATTTTTTTATACTTGCTGTGTGTTAAATAACATAAAGAAAATAATGTAAATTTATTAAAGTATTTTTATTAATTATCTTAAAATAGTGCATATTTTCTATTTTATTACATATCTAATATAATGCATATAATATGTATTACAGTAATAACTTTTGTTAAAAGCAAACGTGAAAATGGAGCTATTTTCCTGACAAATCAGTACCTCCAAAGACCGTTAAAGTACACAAAAGTTGTTTTTATAAGCAAAACAAATTTATCAAGAAGCTTAATAAAAGTGAAAATGTGTACCTAAAAACAAGTTTAAAATTACAAATTTGCTATTTCATATGACAAACAAGTTTAATATCGAATTTATTTGTAGCATATATTTGAATGTCTACTTCAATTTATGTCTAAATAGAAAATCTTTATTAAATATATTTATCGAAGCAATTTTAACTTATTAATCTAAGCCATTTTTCTAAACAATTTACAAATTTTATAACAATCTAATTTAAATTATTAATAATAAATATATTTTTCATTATAAATTATTATTAATAAAAAATTGCAAGTGAATTTAAACTATTAATCTTGATAGATTTAAAATTTAGTTTCAATTAATAGTGATGAATTTATTATTATTTTTTTAGACCTTAATAGTACAATAATAAAATAATATTTACTATATTAAATAATTCAATCAATGTTTTTCATTTATTAATTTCATATTAATAAATTTTTAAAAATACTTTTTGAAGTGTTTCTTTTTTCTTTTAGGAAGGAAAAACCATGTAAAAAGTTTATTTTTGGATAGTCAACTTCCGATCCAATTTCTGACATAATGTTGGATAAAAAAAAGGTTAGAACTCATCTCTTGAACTGGATTTAAAAATTGTCGAGTTCTGTAATATTTTGAAAATGTCACGATTCAGCTTCATAGCCAGATTTTTGACCTATTTTAGCAAATGTCAGGTTCTGTAATATTTATGTGAAGGAGTTTTTTTTTTTTAATTTCTTTTTAAAATAATTTCTCCATTCCAGCAATGAACAAATGTTTTATGTAAAAGAATCCAAATTGCAAAACTCATAACCCTGTATTGTATCTTTGATTTATTATCTTATACTTCATTATTTATTTAGTTTGAATTTATGAATTATCCCAAATAAGGTAGAAAAGAAAATCATACTTAAAATAACAGTGTCAAGAAATACGTAGTCCTACATTTTACTTTGAAGAATCGAAGGGTGCGAAATTCGCTCATAAAAAAAAAAAAAAAAATCTACGCTTTCGTTTATTATATAAATAAGAAACTGTAAATTGTTGTTTTTCCTTTCTCTCTGAAACTGGTTTTGGTTTAAGTCATCGCAGTGAGGAGGGGCTAGAGGTTCGGGGTCCGAGAACTTGAGATCTGATTTATATTTTGGAGACCCTTTTGAAAAAAGAGGACTTCCTTTGCTGCAATTCTTCCTTCTCCATTTGGGTATTCTCTATGCCATTGCTTGTGCCGTTTTTAGTTTGTTGGGGCCTTTTTTAGGTTCGAAGTTTTTGTCGATGTATCGTTGGTGGGTTGATCGTTCTATTTATTCAGATCATACCCTTTTGGAATTTTGTTTTGATTTCTTTTTTATATTCTGGGTTTAGATTTGTGCTTTGGGTTTGGTCAGATTGTAAGGTAGATTTTTGCTTGGGAAAATATGTTTTTGTTAAATCTTGTTTTGTGGTTTTGTTGACTGTGGTTTGTTTCATTTGCATGTTTGAGATGGAGGTGGTAACCTTTAGATCCCTTTGTTCATAAACATGATTGGTTGTTTGTAATCGAATTGATGGAATTTATGAATTTATTGAGAGGACATGTGGTGTGCTGATGTCTTCAGTTTCCTTGTGCCTTCTTTCTGCATGTCTTGTATATTTATGTATGTAAATTTTGTTATTTCATAGTAATAATAATGATACATCTAAAATTTTTCTTGATTTGTGATTTAGCGTTTGTGTACCTACTTATTGTGTCTGTGTATCAAAATATTGAACCGTATATGCTCATGAATCTTCTCTATATTGCTTTGGAATTATTAGGTTCCTTGGATTTTGTGAGGCAGTCTTGTAGTTGGAGCCATGGCAGTTGAGGTTGTGGGATTTGAGATGGTTCAAGGACCAGTGGAGAATGGTGCTGAAGGAGGAAAACCTGTTTTACATGAGAAGGAGAATGGAAAGCTGGATAAAGATGTAGGAGCTGTGGAGGCCATCAAATTTGGGTCACATGGAGATGAATCTGCGAAAGGGAAAGGGAGTGATGTTTCAGAGGTTAATGTGCCGAAAGATGCAGCTGAAGAGTGGCCTGCGCCTAAGCAGATCCATTCTTATTATTTTGTCAGGTGGCGGCCTTATGAGGATCCAACCATAAAATCTAAAATTGATTTACTTGACAAAGAGATCAGCAAGAAAAATCAAGCCCGGTTTCAGATAACTGAAGCACTGAAGGCGAAGCGGGTGAGTTGAGAATAATTCAATTTGGATGCTTGATAAAATATTCATCTCTACTTTATGACTGTAAAAAGACGACTCTAAGCAGCACACAACACAACTAGTAGCAAACAATTGTTTTCAAAATTATATAAAAAATTAATGCAGAATAAAAGTTAAATAATTTATTTTCTGATTTCCTTGTATGGATTTTGATGCACTTTGGTTCAAGGTAATGAGAGACTTAGTTTCTTAAGATGCATTTTTTATTTTGAATATATCAAACAAAGCCTTTGAACTCTCAGGTGCATTTTTTACTTTAATTATATCAAACTAATCCTTTATATTTGACAGACATCATCCCTTAGTAATACCATACAAAATTACTTATTATTCTTATCCATATACATTTTTCAACTGAAAATAAAATACCTAATCATTAGGTCTTATCATTCCTCCTGGCAATACGTTTATTTGATTAGAACTGTGTAATAGTTGTAGAACAATTTAGAAGAAAATATTAATGGGGTTTAGATTGAAAGTTATTTTTGCAGAATGCAATGGCATGGTACAATGATTCCTTTTCAATGAATATATAACATAACTATATATTTGGTCTTTTCATTGCAGTCAGATCGAGCTGAGTTGATTTCTCAAATCAAGTCTCTAAGAGGTGACAATAGACAATTTCAGAGTATTGTGGATGAGAAAATAAAAGAGATTGAACCTTTGCAGCAAGCATTGGGCAAGCTACGCAATACAAATAATGCGGGTCGGGTTGGCTTGTGTTCATCTGAGGAAGAACTTAATAGTGTTGTATGTTATGAATCTGATTTATTTATAGTCCAGAGTTCATCAAATTTTCTAGTTATCTCAACATCTATTCTCCACTACTCACTACACTTGCGTGGTTTGACTGATGTAGATATATAGTTTGCAATACCGCATACAGCATGAGAGTATTCCATTGACAGAGGAAAAACAGCTCCTCCGAGAAATCAAACAGCTTGAGGGGACAAGAGACAAAGTTATTGCCAATGCTGCAATGAGAGCCAAGTTACAGGAATCTATGGGGCAGAAAGAAGCCATTCAAGACCAGGTCAAGGTAAGATGGTTTTATTTGTTTGTGCTAACAAATAAATGTGTACTATTATTTGAAAAGTTCTTGAGAAATTAATTTCCTTTGCAGCTTATAGGGGGGGATTTGGATGGAGTGAAGAAAGAGAGAGAAGCAATTCGGTCCAAAATTAAGCAAATTGATGATGCCCTGAAAGCTATTGACAAGGATATTCAGTCTCTACAAGAGGAACTGACTGCTGTTTCTCAAAAAAGGGACAAATCTTTTGAGAACATGCAGCAGCTGAAGAAACAGCGTGAGGATGGGGTATGTTTCACTTTAAAAATATGAATGCTCGGATGTAATTTCTTAGGAAGTGTTTGATAAACGGGTGGAAAATGAAAAAGAGGAATGAATATACGGAATGTAAAGGAGTGGGATGAAATGTTTATTAATTTAAAGTAGAGAAGATGAAAAATGGTTGAACCTTATTTTTCCAACTCCATCTCGTTGGGTTTAAAAATTTGTTTGAAGATGGAATACAACCTCTGATTATTTGCACCTTCATTTTTTTCAATTGTTACCAGAATGCATCTAGTGTGTTTTCCATTCTGTTTATGTCTTAACAACTTAATTGATATTATTTTGAGTGCTGCCAAACTGATAATTATTTAGCACATATATTTATGTGAACCTAGTAGAATTTTGATGTAAGTTTCATGAAAACATGACTGAGATTGTCATTCTAATTTGCATTGACATTTTCTTGTCCAGAATTCCTATTTCTACCAAAGTCGTACTGTTCTGAACAAAGCACGGGATCTGGCTGCAAAGAAAGATATTAATGCTCTCGATGAAGTTTCACAGACAGAGGTTTGCCGTCATAATTTTGGGTCTTATTAACTACCTAATATTTAGTGATGTATTGTACTTTAACCTTTTGTTCATCTTTTCTTTCTTTTTTTAGATTGATAACTATGGTTGAGTCTTTTATTTTCTCTTATTTCAGGTTGAGAAATTTATGACACTCTGGAACAGTGACAAAGCATTTAGGAATGATTATGAAAAAAGAATTTTGGCCTCATTGGATATGCGGCAGTTGAGTCGGGATGGCCGGATGAGGAACCCAGATGAAAAGCCATTGCTGGAAGAACCAAAACCTGCTGAAACAGAAGCGATACCAAAATTTTTTGCAAAACAGCCAAAAGAGGAGCCTAAGCCTTCTCCACAAGAAACTTTACCTGCTCAGAAAGAATCCAAAATCAAAGTGAGAGATTTGAAATCCAAACCGGATATTAAGGATTCAGCTGTAACTGATGAATATGAATTCGAAAATTCCCAGAAGGTGATCCATGCCAAGGAGCATGAAATTGATCCTGCAAAACTGAAAGAGATTAAGCGGGAAGAGGAAATTTTGAAAGCAAAGCAGGCCCTGGAAAGAAAGAAGAAGCTAGCTGATAAATCTGCAGCTAAAGCAGCAATCAGAGCACAAAAGGAAGCTGAGAAGAAGCTTAAGGTGATTTGATTTTTCATTTCTTTTTGTCATTCTGTAATTGTACATTTTCCAAAACCTGAAACCAATTTTTATAGGACCGAGAGAGGAAAGCGAAGAAGAAAGCTTCTGGTGCAGGAGTTATTGCCAACCCTGAGGATGAAGAGAAAGATGAAGTTGCTGAGATTACTGAACCAGAAAAAGTCGATGAAGACCTTCAAGCCCCGGTTCCAGTGAAGGACAAGGTCCAAAAGGAGAGTGGCATTAGGAACAGGAACCGACCAAGAGGTCCAGATTCAGTTCCAAAAGTAATTCTTAAACGGAAGAAGTCTAACAATTACTGGGTGTGGGTTGCAGCTGCTGCTTTGTTAGTCATCCTTTTTGTGGTGCTTGGATACATCTATCTTTTCTGAGATGTTTAGATGTAGAAGGAGCTGTGAAAAACCAATTTTCTAAGTGGGTGGCTAGGTTTGTGAGGGTAGCTTAAGTTATATTCATGTTCTGTACATCCTCTTGGGAGAATTAGATTAAATACACTTTGTTGTGCTAGCTCCTGCTTTGGGGAGAAGTTGCATGCATACTTTTTAGCTTGACTATGTACTTTTCAAATTTTGTTCAGTTTTCATGAGATGTTACCAGAAGCTTTAATTTGTTTCTATAGTTAATTGGTCGTAGGAACGCACCATGATATACTGAACCTGAGAGATTTTACATTTTATCTGTAGAGAGGTTGAGTATGAGTTGAGATGTGATCTTACGTGAATTAATCTCTTTATTAAGCTACAAAAAGTGAGCATTATTTGCATGAACACACTTCGATGGAAGTTTGGAGTGTAGGCAGACACAAATAACATGTCTATAACCAATTATACTTGTTATGTTTAAAACTACAGTATCTTGTTTTAGATAAATTATTAATTGTGCATTGTTGCTTTGTTTTAAGTGTTTTTATTATTATTATTTAGATCTGAATGAAAATTTTGATATTGGAGAACTTCACTCAATTTTAAAATTGCCAATAGCTTATCTGAATTGATTTTGAACAGATTGCTTTTTTTAATTGTGTCAAGAAAGTGCATGTTTGAATAATATTTGAACTATTTTAATGTTAAAAGTACTTTTGGATAAAGATAATTTTTGTATCTTTTAGTCTGTAAGTACTTTATAGGAGATTAACAGAATGGACAGAAACATGTTCTTAGTCTTCTTTCTCAACCACAAGTAAGATCTAAACAAAATATATAATTAATTAATTAAATGATAACATATATGGATATGATTGAACAATTTTTTTTATAAGTAGTTTTAGAAAATAAAATTAAAAAATAAATAATTTTTTAAAATTAAATTTAAATTAATTTATATTTATAAAAAATTGTCTTATATAATTTTTTAAAGTTTTTTTATTTTTGATTTATATATAAGTTATGTATAATTTTATTTTATTTTCCCTTTAAAATGTATGTTTGTGGAAATAATTATTCAATCAAACTTGATAACTATATGGAAAATATAAGTACTTTTAAAGTTAATGAGTTTGTTATGTTATTCTTTGTCTAAAATATAGTTTATTTAGTTATTAAAATCTTTTTCTTTTAAGTCATTTTAGTTTGTTATGTTATTTAGTTATTAAAATATAGTTAATATATTTCTTTTAATTTTTAATATTATTTATATATTTTATAGACTAAACTTATCTCATTATATTTATAATTAAATTAAAGTGGATAAAGAAATTAAACATATTTCAAATTAATGTTATTTCATTATATATATATATATATATATATATATATATATATATATTTTAAATTGATTTTAAACTAAAATTATTAAATATCTTTTTTAACTTATTTATAAACAATATTTTAAAAAAATCTCAATTTTAAAAAAAAAAACATAAAATTAAACTAAACAAATATTAAAAATGGAGAGATAAATGTTACATGATAAAATTAGGTAAAAAATGATAAAATAAGTACGAGAGGCCGAGGATTTGAAAACATTTTAAAACGTACAAATTTTAACACGAGTAATTATACTTTGACACTCGGTTAAAAAAATCCAATAAATAACTCGTTAGAATAATATAATAATAAATTTTATTATATTATTATTATAATGAATTATTTATTGCATGTTTTTAAAATGTTTTTTTAAAGTATATTTTCCTTTTTTAACATACATAAATTATATTAATTAATAAGTTATAAAATTGTATTTTTTTTTATGTAATGAGATTTCGTAGATGTTACATTTCGTAAAACAATACTTTTAAATATAATTTATTTGTAAAAGCATTATAGTATAGTAACTTTAAAATGTAAATTGAGTTATTTAAAAGTGATTATTATTAAAAAAATAGTTATAATATATTTATGCAGTAAAAATGTTTAATTAGCTTTTATTGAATTAAATATTTATCATTTGCATTGTACAAATTAAATTACTATTTAATATTTAAGATTAACAGTGAAGTGAAAGTCGTCAAATGATAATGGTAGAATGGTAAAAAATAATCATAATGAAAATATAATTACATGTTATTTTCAATTTTAAACAAAAAGGAAAAAGAAAAAAGAAAAATAAGAGCTTTGTGGTGCAGCATCACATAACTCTCCTCAGGTGGTGGTGGTGTTGAGTTCAAGCTCATCCCAGCAAAGGTGGAACCACCATGGTTGTGGCCACAAGCTTTGGAACTGCATGTATTCTAAGAAGAGCAACTCAGGCTTTTGCAATATCTCATTTTCAGATCCTTCACAACAATGCCACCTTCTCTTTCCAAAGGCAACTTTCCTCTCATTTTCTTTCTGTTTCTACTTCTTCAGGTCTATACTTACTTCTTTCGATTTTAATTTTTCTTTATTTATTGGTGTTACCTATATTTAATTTGATTCTGTTTGGCATCCATATGCCCGTTAGGTTTAATCACTTAAAGCTGCTATCTTTCTGATAAAAGAAATTGTGGGTGCTCAAAACGAAGGCGAGAATGTTATAGCTGTTATAGTATATCTGTTGTAATTGTTGTAATGAGTATATCTGTTGTAATTGTTGTAATTGACAGCTGGCATTGATAGGTAGTTAAGGCAGTTAGTAACTACCTTTTCCGCTTAATGTTTGGTTGTAGCTATCTATAAAAGATAGCTGGCTGAAACCAATGCGGGTATCTTTTGAAAAGAAAATCATTCTTGTTTCTCTCTGTATTGTATCAAACATTTCTTGATAATAAATCCTCAGAACTTTTTCTTTCCTAGAGTTCTCTAAATTTCCAAGAATTATGAGTTTCTTAGTGAGATTCCTAGTTTTCTAATTGGTTCTATTAAGAACCATATCAGAGAAAGTGTTTCTTTTGACCTGACTCAAGAATGCAAATAACACCCTTTAATGGAGAAACAGATAAGAGGGGTTTATCAATTGCAGACACGATTAGATGGAGGTTAGTTACTGTCCTGTCCTGAATGTTTGAAATACCAGATTCAAACAATCTGACACAATAAGAATTTTGTTTTCAAGCATTCAGGACATTTACTAATTCCCATCTTATTGTGTCTGCAATTGATAAACCTCGTCATCTTATCTTTATCTTCAGTACCAGTTGTTTTAATTTTGAGGTGCATTGTGTTTATAATTCAATGTGGATATGAATTTATATAGCTAAATGGACAAAGGGAATTCATGAATTGCGATTAAGTTCAGAACATTGGGAAAGATGTTCCTCTTGCTTAACTGATCATGTTGAACTTGATAGACATGCTTGTTGATCGGAAGTGTTTAGTTTTACTACAACTGCTATAGTGGTGAAGGGGCTTTTGATACTAAAACATTATCAAGTGTGTTGTTGTTGATGGCTCGTGTGTTATAAAGGAAAACTATTGTCATAAAATAGAATCAATTAAAGTTCTCGATGGATCAATTAACCAAATTAACTATAGCTGTGACTAGTGTTTCCAAGAAGCAACCTAAAAAGTAAAGGTCAATATTTAGCCCCATCTGACTTCCTGTAATGTAATACAGCTTTAGCTGTGATGTTTTTGGCAATCTGGGGGTATATGTACCACCACGGAGATCTACTTCAATGGACTTTTTTGGATGAATATTGGAAAGTAGTGCTTGATGACCGGTGGTACAAGCAACTGAGCAAGTAGGTCAACCTGGTTATGAGTGGTAAAACATTTGAAGAAATGAATGGTAAAGAGTGCAGGTAATATGTATGACTTTGTTGGCTTCTAAAAGTAGGCTTGTCCTAGGAGATGAGGAAACACAGTACAACGTAGGTTGGTTTGGTGAAGACTGCAGAGTGCCAACATGTTGGTAGGCAGGCATGTTGATCTCAGAATTTCTGTGCTCACGAAAATATTGTTTGCCATTGGATACCTGGGAAATGCTTCTGCATAAGGAGTGTAAATACTTGTGCTTTAGTTTGAGGGAGAAATTGTTGATAATTAAAGTGTTAGAGGAATGTGAGTTTGAATGGACTAGTTAAGGAATTCTAGAGTGGATATTAATGGACCAGGTAAGGAGTGTATAAGGTGGAAGGACCTTTGAACATAATGCCTAAAACTTTTGAATTGAGACACAGTGTTGGGCCTATGGCAGTGTTTCCATGGTATGTCCATTGAAATATATCTCCAACTGGTTTTTGATTCCACGTAGCAGCTTCAGATTGTAGCAATCTCCCTTTGTTGCTACAAATCTACAATCTCACCTTAAGCTTTTCCTGAGAAACTGGGACAATTTGAATGAGACTGTTCTAGTGTCATCTAGCTAGGGTACTTATTAGTGTCAGTTGTTATGTACACGTCAGATATTCTATACTTTCATTAAATCCTGTAAACGCCATGCCCTTTCTCTAAAAAACTAAGCAATTTGGAGATATTATTATCAATTTGATTAGTGGTTAGAAAAGAGGTGTACAGGTTGACCACAAAGAAGTATTCATGACTTCTTTTGCCACTTTGATCTGTTGGTTCGGTGAAGTATGTATTCTGTGGGCATCCCAATCATGATCCAGTTTCACATTTTTAATATTTTTTGAAGTGCAGCTTCAGGTGTAAGCCAGGCAGTACAGGCTTTAAAGGGAGAAATTGACGAGTTACTCAAGGGAGTAGGAGAAAGAAGTGTAACAAAAGAAGTAAAACATATTCTTGAGATGGTACTTTCTGGTTATTCCCTGGTCTCTAGTCCATAAACATCATTACTTCACGTGTCATGAACGACTTTGGTACTCTTTTATCCCTGCATGGAAGTTTGATGTTTATTGCCTGTGTCATAAGTAGATGCCTTTGGTCCATAACATGTCCTATAAATCATTATTTAATCCTTGACTTGGTGTTGTCCATTGCTGTAGGCTAGACGAGCATCATTAAAGCGAGAGACTCTCCATACAGATTTTCTAACCCCTCCAGTGCTAAAGGAGTCTATGCAAGTTTTGGAAAAAATAGCAGATGTGAAAGCAATTGCACAAGGAGGTTACCCTCAGGTAAGATATCCAGATAAATGCTTTCCAGTCCCTTGAAACACAAGTTATCTGAATTTGTATGTGGACATAACGCATGAATCCTCTCTAGGCTGAACGATGTCGGATTTCTGTTGGACATCCAGAAGAACTGACAAGTGATCCAGATATTATTTCAGCATTAAGGTAAATCTTGTAATTTCATTACCACAAATTTTCAAACTCACCAGATCCATTATTGATGTTTATGGAAGTGTATGCTAATATTTACATAAAATTAATTTTTTCAGCATTAAAGGGAACTTCCAGTTTGAACCTTGCTCACATGGTGACTTCCTTGGCTCAATTCTTGGTACAGGAATTGTCAGGGAGAAACTTGGGGATATTATATTGCAGGTATTTATTTTATTAAATTTATCACAGGAATGCTCTGTTTAAAATTTGCTCTGTGCATAGATGAGTGCTGAGGTTGTTGTATAAACATTATTAAGTTTTAATGGACTTGCTGTTCATAGTACGTCATAATCTGCAATTTGTTATATGCTATTATACTAGACATTTCCATCATATGAATTTTTTTTTATTTGCTGATTTTGTTCTAATTTCCGTTTCTTCTCATTGCCAGTACATAGGAAAATATTCTTGTCTATTGCACAGCTCTTATCTCTAAAGTTAATGATTTCTGTTTGTTGTTTGATGAATCAATATTTCTATTATCTTTCTACTTAGATCAATAGAGTGCATATTCTCACAATGGATCCAAAGTGACTCAAATCATCGTGTCGAAAAGAAAAGAGAAGTCTCTGTCAAGAAAACAGTATTAAGTAGTCTGGAAAATTAGATTAATTGAAATATGATTTTTATTATATTAATACAAAGAGATGATATAAGATATATACAGGAGACCTAAGCTATTTTAGGAAATATAATAACTCTATTTTATGCTAGGATCCCTTGATTTATGGGATTGTTCCTAATTATTCAAATCTGTACAGATTACAAGGAAATATACAAATTTCCTGATTTATTCTTTCCTAAAATACTATTTGATTTCCCACACTCCCCCTCAAGCTGGTGAATAGATGTTTTCCATTCCCAGCTTGGATACAATCTTCTCAAAATTATGGCAGCCCAGTCCCTTGGTAAGAATGTCTTGGTAAGAATGTCTGCAATTTGGTCTTGAGAGGACACATATGGAGTGCATATCAAGCCACTATCAAGCTTTTCTTTGATGAAGTGTCTGTCTACTTCAATATGCTTTGTTCTATCATGCTGCACTGGGTTGTGGACTATACTGATTGCTGACTTATTATCACAGTAGAGCTTCATAGGTTCTTCCCACTTTATCCTCAAGTCTTCTAAGATGATTTTAAACCATAGCAACTCACATATACCTTGTGCCATGGCTCGGAATTCTGCTTCAGCACTGGACCGAGCCACTACACCCTGCTTTTTGCTTCTCCAAGTCACAAGATTTCCTCCAAGAAAGGTGCAATATCGTGTAGTTGACCTCCTATCCACAATTGACCTTGCATAATCAACATCAGTATAGGCTTCAAGCTTCACATTACCATTCCTTTTGAATAGAATCCCTCTTCCTGGAGTTCCTTTAAGGTACTGTAAAATTCTGTGGGCAGCTTGTAAATGGGTCTCCTTTGGGCTATGCATAAATTGGCTAATTAAACTCACTGTATAGGCAATATCTAGCCTGGTATGCGACAAATATATAAGTCTGCCCACTAATCTTTGGTACATATCTTTTTCAACAGCAACATCTTCTTCTGCATTTCCAAGCTTTAGGTTTGGTTCTGTTGAATATAGAGAAAAACTGTATAGGGTTAATTTCCCTTATGTATTTACCACACATAGGGCAGTGTATTTATAATAAAGAAAGGTACTCCTCAAAAGAGTAACAGAATACAAATAGGGTAAATAAAAAGATATTATTTGATATTGTGATTAACAATATCTAACAATATCTCAACAATATCAAACAATATCAACTAATATCTAATCATATCTAACACTCCCCCTCAAGCTGGAGCATACAAATCGTATGTGCCTAGCTTGGTACAAAGATAATCCATCCTAGGTCCCCGTAAAGACTTAGTGAAAATATCTGCTAATTGATCACATGAGTTAACGAACTCAGTCTTGATGTCTCCAGACATAATCTTTTCTCGAATAAAATGACAGTCAATCTCAATGTGTTTAGTCCTCTCATGAAAGACGGGATTAGAGCTTATATGGAGAGCGGCACTGATTGTCACACACTAGTGTCATTTGAGTGACATCTCCAAATTGTAGCTCTTTAAGCAATTGCTTGAGCCAAATAAGTTCACAGGTAGTCGATGCCATAGCTCTATACTCGCTTCGCACTGGATCTTGCCACAACACTTTGTTTCTTACTTTTCCATGAGATCAAGTTACCACCAATGGAAACACAGTACCCGAGATGTAGATCTTCTATCGGAGGGAGATCCTGCCCAATCGACATCCGAATAGCGAGACAACTCTTGTATGATTATGGGAGTCATACACCAAACCTTTTCCAGGAGACTTTTTGATGTACTTCAATATACGGATGACTGCATTCCAATGATCTTGACAAGGAGAATTGAGGAATTGACTCACCACACCGACTGCAAAGGAAATGTCGGGGTGAGTAACTCGTAAGATAATTTAATTTTCCAACTAATCTTCTATACTTGTTCGAGGATCCGACATTGACTCCCCCGATTTGGCAAGAGTTTGGTATTAGGATCCATGGGTGTGTCAACAGGCTTTGAATTCATCAACCCAGTTTCCTCCAAAATATCCAATGCATACTTTCTTTGAGATATAACAATGCCATCGGTAGATTGTGCTACCTCAATACCCAAGAAATATCCGAGTTTGCCAAGATCTTTGGTTTGAAAATGGTGGCAAAGGTGTTGTTTCATCCGAGAGATGCCATGATGGTCACTACCTGTAAGAACAATGTCATCGACATACACTATCAAATAGATACATCCAGACATTCGAGTGACGGTAAAAGAGCTGAGTGGTCCGCCTCACTTCTAGTCATGCCAAATTGTTGAACAACGTCGCTAAATTTTCCAAACCAGGCCCTAGGAGACTGTTTTAGGCCATATAAAGATTTGCGAAGACGACATACCAATCCAGAAGACTCCCCCGAGCAACAAATCCGGGAGGTTGCTCCATATAAATCTCTTCTTGCAAATCGCCATTCAAGAAAGCATTTTTGACATCCGAGTTGATAAAGAGGTCATTGTTGAATAGCAGACCATGGCAATGAATAAACGAACGAAGCCATCTTTGCCATTTGGAGAGAAAGTATCACCATAATCCAACCCAAAAATTTGGGTATAGCCTTTGGCTACAAGGCGAGCTTTGAGGCGATCAATAGTACCATCAGGACCAACCTTGATAGCGAAGACCCACCTGCAACCAACAACAGATTTTCCGGATGGTAATGGGACAAGCGTCCAGGTTCCACTAGTCCGAAGAGCACCGAGTTCATCTAGCATGGCCTGACGCCAACCAGGGTGGGCTAAGGCTTCGAGAGCAGATTTAGGAATAGACATAGAAGAAATAGACGAGAGACAGGTATAAAATGGTGAAGAAATTCGATGATAACTTAAAGCGAGTATAATGTGGAGAAGGATTACGAGTAGAACGCGTACCTTTACGAAGGGCAATAGGAAGGTCGGACTCTGTGGACGGAACCGGAGGAGCGGAGTATTTGGCACTGGGAGTGAGTCATGTGGCGTCTGTTGTGGGCGAGGTCTGCGACTATAAACATGAAGGGGTGGTGGAGGAGGAGGGGCTAATGGTGGATGGTCCTCAACATAAGGATCAATGAGAACGGGAATGAGAAGCGTAGCGAGATGGAGACTCGACAGGTAGGGAAGGGTCCTTAAAGTAAAAGGAAAACTCATTGAAGGTGACATCGGCGAGACACAAAATAGCGATTAAGAGAAGGAGAAAAACACTTGTATCCTTTTTGGGATCGAGTAAATCCTAAGAAAACACATTTGTGTGATCGAGGAGATAACTTATCATGACCAGGATCAAAATTGTGGACAAAGCAGGTAGACCCAAAAACCTTCGGAGGTAAAGGATGGAGAGTGTCATGAGGAAATAAAATAGAATGGGGAATTTTGTTATCTAAAACCGAAGAGGGCATACGATTAATAAGATAACAGACGAGTAAGAACGACATCACCCCAAAAATGTTGAGGAACCTCACCATGAATTAAAAGAGTACGGGTTGTTTCAATAAGGTGTCTATTCTTGCGCTCGACCACCCCATTTTGTTGAGGGGTATAAGCACAGGAAGTTTGATGAAGAATGCCATGAGAAGCCATAAATTGTTTAAACGAGTTTGAAAGATATTCACGGCCATTATCACTTCGAAAAGTTTGAATAGAGACACCAAATTGATTTTTAATTTCATGATAAAAGTTTTGGAATATAGAAAACAACTTCGAACGATTTTTCATTAAAAATAACCAAGTACAACGAGAGAAATCATCAATAAAAGTAACAAAATATTGAAAACCTAAATTAGACTTAACACGACTGGGTCCCCAAATGTCGAGTGAACTAAGGCAAAGGGGGATGAAGCACGCTGGGAAACACTACGAGAAAAGGAAGTACGACTATGTTTGCCTAACCGACGGGACTCACACACCAAATTGGACAAGCTAGGATAAGTCGGGAACAAGTTGCTCGTAATTTGCGCAGGACCGGGGTGACCAAGGCTGAGCATGAAGGAGAGAAGGAGACTCCATAAGCTGTGCCAACATGTGGAGAAGGTTGAAGATAATAAAGTCTATGTGACTCACATCCGGTGCCAATCACTCTTTGCGAGCTCCGGTCCTGTAGGGAAACAAAAGTTTTGGTAAAAGAGATAACACAATCAAGAGATCGAGTTAGACGGCTAATGGATAATAAGTTAAAGGGGGACCCGGTACATACAAAACATTATCAATGGACAACGAGGAAAAAGAGTAACTAGTTCCAACACCATGAGCTAAAGTTGTAGACCCATTAGCCATTGTAACAGAGGGTAAATTATGAGAAGAAGTGAAAGAGGAAAATAAGGATTTGTTACCAAGTGATGTGATCGAGTGGCGCTGAGTCAAGAACCCAAGGGCCAATAGAAGAAGAGTGAGTCAGACCAGCAAAAGATGTACCTGTGTGGGCAACAAAAGTAGTGGAACTGGAGGGCTTTCGATCCTCATACCATTGAAGAAAATCATTGAAGATAGCAGATTTGTCTAAAGGTACAGACGAAGGAGGATCCACAGCAGAGGATTGTGCGGAAGAATCAGTCTGAGCAACTGCAGCAGATCGGCGAGGATAACCATGTAAAGCATAACATTTGTCAATTTTGTGGCCTAGTTTGCCACAATGGTCACACTTGACACGCCCTTTGCCTGGCTTGTGAGAGCGATTACGATCATCACGGTGAGAGGCCAAGTCAGATGCCCAAGTTGCATAATTCGTACCATCTAATTTATCAATGGGTAAATTCACATTGACATAATTAGTAAAAACAGATTGCTCAGACCCACCGGAGCTGACAGAGGTAACTTCAGAATTGGAAGTGGCAGCGGAAGATGCCATGGAGGAAGAGAGAGAAAAACCCTAAAACACCAAAGAGGTCCGATTGGAGCAGCGAGGACAGATCCAAAGAGAGGAGAAGGAGGCGACGCCGGCGCAAAGATCGGCGGCCTGAACGGCGGCAAGACGCGCCGCCA